GGATGGGGAATTAGATAACCACCAAACTTTGTACTTCTTAGAATCATAGAACTGTAGAACTGGAAGGTTCCACGAGGGTCATTTAGTCCAATCCCCTGAAATACAGGAATCTTTTGCCCAACATGAATATTTATACCACACTTTAAGAGCAGAGGAAAACACCCTAGGAAGAGATGGGAGGAACTCAATAAATTTAAAGCTGTAGCAAACTGAGCATCTGAACTGAATAAACGGATTAGATTCAGGTAGGGATGTTAATGTTGTTTGATGACTGGATTTCCTGCTGATAAACTGCTGCCCGGAAACCAATGTCCACACAGTGGAAGGACGTGTGGATCCAGAATTGGCCTCCACAGTCACTTACGGACTCATTGTTAAAACCATGTTTATGGTTTCGGCTACGAGTGATCGCCAAAGAAGAAGGAGAAGGGATGTTAATGTTATTTGATGACTGGATTTCCTGCTCAAACCCACAGTGGAACAGGGGAAGGTAGCAGAACAGAACTGAAAGTGTGGAAAGAACTCCCCCCCCCCCCCGCAGATTTTTGCAGAAGCAGTAGCTCTCATCAGAAAGCAAAGGCCTGCAGAAAAGAGAGATTCTGCCTTCAACTTGAAATAAATTATTAAATCTGCTCCACATAGAAGCCACGCGTCTTTCCAGCCATCTTCTCCCCAGACAGAACTCATCAAGGGGAAACCATGTTACATTTGTGAAAAGTACAGATTCCCGCCTCCCCCCCCTCCCTTCCAACTCTGCCAGGTTGCTTCAATGCACAGATGTAATGCGACAGCCACAACACGAGGATTAGATTGCTTTTACGTGGGGTGGGGTGGTTTCTCGGTACAGAGAAAATGAGGAGAGGTAGGAGTGGTGCACTCACACGAGAGGTGCAGCAGGAGAAGATGACGAGAACAGAAGGCTTCTGAGAAATTGAGATGGGCCCTGATCCATGCTCGTTCTATTAGATGGTCTCCTTTCCTTCACTGTAGGTGAGCGGTCAATTCTGATGACCATATTAGAGGATACATTTGCTACAGGCTGGCACCTGGAGGATTAGCCCTTCCTGTAGGTAGAGTTGTCATCATCATCATCATCATCATCATCATGTTGTTGGCATTTGTCTGTCTCAGAAGCCAGCAGAGGGGTGCACCTTTGGGGGTGAGGTCAAGCTGTTGGAAGGTTGCAGTGCCTGCTGTGGCTGCAGAGACTGATACAGATGAGACATGTTTTTGTTAGATTTCTGTGTGTTGCCACTGTGCAGTGCTTTGAGTCAAAAGACCCTGTTTACATTCCAGACATTCCAGGCTGTTGGAATTCACATGGAAGACAGGAGACGGATGTGATGTTTACTGGTTTCCTGTTCCTTTGCTTTTCAGTTGCTCTCTGCTTTCACAGAGAGAGAATGTATACTTCTTTTCTGTCTGCATAGTTAGAAATAAAACACTCTTTGCAATGTAGCTGTCTGCAGATTGACATGGCTGATAAAGGGTGGATGTTAATGTTGTGAATGCTGCGGGTTGCAAACGTGCATCCCGCATGGATTACGTTCGCAACCCGAGCATCCACTGTAGACAAATTCATGGACAATGAGACTATCAGTGGCTAGCAGTCATGATGGCTATGTTCTGCCTCCAGTGTCACAGGCAGTATGCTGGTGCGTACCACTTGCTGGCCATCACAAATGGGGAGAGTGCTGTTGACCTCAGGTCCGGCTTTCAAGCTTCCCAAGGGCATCTGGTTGGCCACTATGGAGACAGGATACTGGGCGAGATGATGATTTGGCCTGGTCCAGCAGGGATGTTCTCACGGTTCTACAGTGGTACCTTGGGTTACAGACGCTTTAGGTTACAGACTCCGCTAACCCAGAAATAGTACCTGGGGTTAAGAACTTTGCTTCAGGATGAGAACAGAAATCGCGCGGCGGCAACGGGAGGCCCCATTAGCTAAAGTGGTGCTTCAGGTTAAGAACAGTTTCAGGTTAAGAACGGACCTCCAGAATGAATTAAGTTCTTAACCCAAGGTACCACTGTATGCTTTTTCTAGGTGGGGGGATGGTATCAGGGATGCATCACATTATTTCTCTGGGTATCTGAAGGCAGAACGGAGAACTTGGCAGAAATGGAGGGTCAGGTTTCTCCAAAAGTAGCGTGCAGTGGTTTTGTGCTAAGTTATATGCACAAAAGGGACGCAGGTGGCACTGTGGGTTAAACCACAGAGCCCAGGACTTGCCTATCAGAAGGTTGGTGGTTCGAATTCCCGCGATGGGGTGAGCTCCCATTGCTCAGTCCCTGCTCCTGCCAACCTAGCAGTTCGAAAGTGTGTCAAAGTGCAAGTAGATAAAGAGGTACCGCTCCGGCGGGAAGGTAAACGGCGTTTCCATGCGCTGCTCTGGTTCGCCAGAAGCAGCTTAGTCATGCTGGCCACATGACCCAGAAGCTGTATGCCGGCTCCCTTGGCCAATAAAGCGAGATGAGCACCACAACCCCAGAGTTGGCCATGACTGGACCTAATGGTCAGGGGTCCCTTTCCCTTTCCCTTACATGCACAAAAGTTCAAAGAGTTAGATGAAAATAGGCACACGGTCAACTAAGAAGGGAATGGTGGTTGGGACTTGGGCTTGGGTTTGGCTGTTATAATTATGAACAGGACGTGGTATTTTTTCCAGACGAGAGACCAGACAGACATTTCAAGCAGACTGAATAATTAACTTGCACAGCATGCAGACATAATGTGTGACACTACGAGGTCATTAAGATTCCATCGCAATCTTTCGATCAATAGGACATCATTTGACATGCACAAATTTTGCTCCCCAACCCAGCAATTCCTGTGGGGACCCTGATGGTAGTACAGCATGGTGGCAGCTGAGAGGATGGACTCTGAATCAGTAAATCCCCATTTACATCTCACCCTTTCCATTAAACCCCAAGCTGGCATTAGGGCAGACACTATTGCTGCGTCTCTGACCTCTCCCTTGTATAATGTGCTGGTCATCATATTGACTTTCCTTACTGGGCAGTTGGGGGAATTGTTGAGATAATGTATGTTCGGTAGTGTATGTATGTTTTGAAAACTGTGAAATGCTTTATGCAATTATTATTATTATTACTATTAGCAGCAGTAGTAATCATTACTACTGCTACTATTTGCTGTTTATGTCTGGTTCACACAACCAGTCATCATAAGATGTATTTTGGGCAGAGGGTGATGTAGCTTTGTGAACACATCAAGCCACCCTACATCATGCAGTTGCTATTTAACAGATTCTGGAAACCTATATTTTAACAAAATGTTATCCAGGATTCTGTGCCTGAGGATCTAACAAGTTTACAGTTGCCATGTGTCCTCTTTTTCCAGGACACATCCTCTTTCTCAGGGGTAAATTTTTTGTCCGGGTGGATTTTTAAAATTTGCCAAAATGTCTCTGGCTATAATTTCCGGATGACACATAGATATAACTGGTTACTGAAGACTCTCTCTTCTCCTGCCCCACTCACCAATGTATCACAGCTTCTATAGCCTACATACAGTAGGGATATTTCAAATGAGAGTCATCATAGCGTCTTCCTTTTTGCTCTTCAAAATATGGCAACCCTAGAGGTTAGCATTGCAGAAGACACTTACCTCTTCTGTAGCTCCCTTTGCACTGAGTCCACCTAAATAAGTCTTAGCTGAATGGAAGTGTTTTTCCAGGGTTTCAGGCAGGAATCTCTCTCTATCCTACCTGGAAATGTCAGGGATTGCACATGAGACCTTTTGCGTGCGAAGCAAGTGCTCTGCTTCTGAGCTAACACAAATACATGAGAAGGCCTTCTACTGATTATCCTTTTCTTTCCTGTGTTTTATTCTCCTTTCCTAACACAGTGCGGATGGGGATTTCGCAGTCACCCACCTCACCAAAGCCCACCTGTTCTACGACGGGCGGATCAAATGGATGCCTCCAGCCATCTACAAGAGCTCCTGCAGCATCGACGTCACCTTCTTCCCCTTCGACCAGCAAAACTGCACCATGAAGTTTGGCTCATGGACTTACGACAAGGCAAAGATAGATCTGGAGAGCATGCACCGCCATGTAGACCAGTTGGACTACTGGGAGAGTGGAGAATGGGTGATCATCAATGCTGTGGGCAATTATAATATCAAGAAGTATGAGTGCTGCTCGGAGATCTACCCTGATATCACCTATTCCTTCATCATCAGACGCCTTCCTCTCTTCTACACCATCAACTTGATCATCCCCTGCCTTCTGATCTCCTGTTTGACTGTCTTAGTCTTCTATTTGCCTTCGGAATGCGGGGAGAAGATCACTCTTTGCATCTCAGTCCTCCTGTCTTTAACTGTCTTTCTCCTCCTTATCACCGAGATCATCCCCTCCACCTCACTGGTCATTCCGTTGATCGGAGAGTACTTGCTCTTCACTATGATCTTTGTCACCTTGTCCATCATCATCACCGTCTTCGTGCTCAATGTCCACCACCGCTCCCCTCGCACTCACACCATGCCGGACTGGGTGAGGAAGGTTTTCCTTGACGTCGTCCCACGCCTTCTCTTCATGAAGCGTCCTTCAACAGTGAAGGACAACTGCAAGAGCTCATCGAGTCCATGCACAAGATAGCCAACTCTCAACGCTTTTGGTCTGAGATGGAAGTGGAACCTAACTTCACTACCTCGTCATCCAACAGCCCTCAGAGCAACGAGCAATCTCCCACGTCCTCTTTTTGTGCCCATCTCGATGACCAAGCAAAACCACCTCCGGTGTGCAAGTCACCATCTGGGCAGTATTCCATGTTGCACCCAGAGCCGATTCGGGCCAGTTGTACATCCCTCCAACCTCCCTGTCACCCTCTGGGAGACTCTCAGTCCAGCTCAATCTCCAAAGGCAGGTCGCTCAGTGTCCAGCAGATGTACAGCAGCCCAGTGAAAGCAGAAGAAGGGACCATACGTTGCCGGTCGAGGAGCATCCAATATTGCTACTTGCAAGAGGAGTCGTCCCAGACCAATGGGCAATCCAGCGGGTCCCCAGCCTCCCAGCGCTGCCATCTCCAACGAGGAGCAGCCCAAAGCCAAACCCACTCACTGTAAATGCAAATGTAAAAAACCCGAGTCAGCCAGCACCTCAGGGCAAGGGAGCAAGACTCTTGGCACGAAAGACCAGCAGCTTTTGCTGATGTCGCCGGCCTTGAAGTTGGCCGTGGAGGGGGTCCATTATATTGCAGACCACTTGAGAGCAGAAGATGCAGATTTTTCAGTAAGTAAAAGAATAACAGTAACTTGTTTGCATCAGCACCTTTTCGCTGCAAAGTTATACGACTCGGGATCCAATTTATTAGTACCACTAGTGTGCAGCTGAATGTTTTCCACCCTCATTAATCATAATAATGTTAGATTATGTGTGTCCCCACTCCTGCAACATTCATTCAATTATTATTATTTTTGTAGCTGTTCACAACCAAACTTTCCTCAATTATTTTCCTCTTTTGCTGCCTCTTCAACATCATTCCCCCCCCTCTATTTTGTTTCCTTCTCAAGTGATCCTAGCCAATCAGGGAATAGGTACTGTAGAAGATGGAATCATAGCAGCACGTAGCTGATCACTGTTCGATATTTATGATGGCGCTACAAGTAAACAAAACCTATTGGGGGGAGCTTGTCCTGTAGTGGCCACATGGTGGATTGTAGCCTTTCAGGGATTACTCTATGTATTGAACAGTTTATTTTGCAGTGGCCCCAGGAAAACCATTGAAGGGCTCCTTTCTGCTTCTGACAAAGCTTTTTGTGGAATCTCACCCCTTCATTTCAGCACAGAGCTAATTCCTATCATTAACATCCGAGGCTTCGCACCACATAATCTTTACACATGGAGTCAGTCGTAGCTCCTTTACAAGTACATTTGTATGATAACATGGGCCCATTCATTCATACTGTACACTTCCAACTGCACCCTTGGTCTTAAGTGGATAGCTTAAAAATTGCAATCAGTTCTTATTTCCTGCTTGAACTTATGAGTAGCGGGAGAGGGGAAGCAAGGATTAAGGGGGAAAGTTTAATATCCAAGGTGCTTAAATCTATCAGGTCCTTCATCAGGGTGTTTCATATACAGAAGTTCAACCTTCTCTAATACTATCTCATTTCCCTTTCTACTTGAAAGTGCTTAAAAGCATGTCGGCAATATCTGGTAGACTCCAAAAGCTCAGGGTTTAGTGGGAGAGATCTGAGCCGATTGTGATCCAGTTTTTTGCCCCCTCAGAATTCCAGTGGTTGTGGAAGAATGGGGAGGGATGTCCAAGTGTTTAGGTGGGGGAATATAAAAGTTTTGTTTTTTAATGAGGTCATTGGGGTTTCCTCTTCTTTTCCTTCCACTTAAAAATGACATCAAGTTGCCACTGCAACTGAAGTCTGGCAACTGGGCTGATGTTCCCATGAAAATGTGGACTGGAATGCCCCATGGGAACTCATCACTTCACAATATTGCAAGTAAGAAAAATGCTTTTTGAGGGGGAAGCTACCTGAAATGGTTACAAGTTTCGCAGAGGCTCCCTGAAAATTGCAGAAGTTCTCCCCCTGAATACTTTCACGTTGGACGACGGTCCCGTGCACGCTCACATGGGGAGATTTTGGGTCAGTTCTATTCTGAATAGGATGTCCAATGATCAGAGGGTCTGCATCCTTCAAAAGGAAAATACAAAATTTGCTTTTTCCTGGTGGGTCTCAATCACGAATGGTTCACTCACCTGTTGGCTGGTTTTTACAGTTTGGGTAATTCGTGAGTTTTATTCGGTCATGTGGGTCCTCTTTTTATAAGGTCCCTGAAAAGGCTGGTGAGATGGAATAACAGAAATATCTCAAAGGAATGTCTTCAAACTCACCTCTTCATACCCAACCTCCATAATGTTACATTTTCACTTTGGTAGCTCAGTTGAGGCTCTAACCAATTGAATTTTTTCAACTTGGCAATGCAGTGTGCTGTTCTTTGAGTGCTGGGTGTTGAATACCACTGAGCTCAAACAGAGAGCCCCTTAGATTAGATACAGAGCCCCACTCCTTCTGCACCAGCAGGTCCACAAGCATTTGGGGGCAGGCAAGAGACACTGTGGACCTGGATCTTCCTGAGCTTCAAAGGCAGGTTCAGGACTGGCTCAAGATATTTGTTTTTTTTTTTATAATTGATATTTATTGAATTTTCAAAAAATAACAACAAAAATTTCCAAAAAAAAAAAAAAATTTTGGATACAAAAAACAAAAATAGTGCATAAACAAAAAAGAAAAGAAAACCCAGCCACAAAGAAAGAAAAAAAAGAGAAACAGAAAAACAAAAATATAAAGTCCTTTACAATCTCTATTGACTTCCTTTCTAGACTTCCTCCTCCTCCCCTCTTTTGTTTCTTAATTTTTAATTTTTACAGCAAATCCTTTCTGTTTTTCATAACAATCTGTCATTACGTTTCCTTATTCTATTTTCCCTCTTGTCATATAAAAACTTTAAAACTCATAGCTTATATTCAATATTTAACAAATTCTTGCATCATTACCTTTTTACGAATCATTTACCAATCCTTACTTAAGCCATGTAATTTCATTCAACATCCTTCAAACATTTGTAAGCATTCCCAATATTAAAAAATAAAAAGAAAAATTAATAAGTCGAATTCAGTCCAGTCAGCTTCCAACCTCCCTCCCCTGGACCCGGGATTGTCAGTCCTTTTAACCTCCCTTAACCTGGTTGTCTCGTATCCGAGGCCCTCAAGTCTCTTTCTTGCCCCTTTCGCCACTCTTGTTGATGATTCCTTTCCAGTCGTGGATGCTCCAGCAAGAAAATGCTTTTGACCCTTTGCAGCAAGTCCATCCCAAACCCATTGCCCAAGCCAGACAGCAAATAATACCACTTCAAATTTCCACAAAGCTTGGAGACTTCGGCTACTCCAATCCTCTGATAGCCCATCACCAGACTCGGAAGGTCCAAATAACCATATGGAGGGGTCGATCCATCCCCCATTTCCAAATCTGACCACATTTCATCTTTCCGAATCTGGTTTGTCCCAAGTTCATTTATCAAGTTCAAAGGCTGATCTTGCCCGTCCAAAGGTCCCTCCATCTCTGAAGCCTCCGTCACTACAGCAGGTTCATATGCTTGTATAGCCTTTAACTGAATTTCATTTGTTTGCTGCTGTGCTCTGGTAACTTCCATCCTCAAGGTCGTCTCCTGACGCATCTGGTCCAGCTGGGCACTTAGTTTTGAAAAACCTTCCAGGAACAATTGTTCAAGCCTTTGTACTAGCATTGTCCTTCAAGGTCAAAGAAAATTCTTTCCCACGAGAATAGTCCAATAGTCCTTCTCTTTTAATCTCTCTGCGTTGCAATTTCACTAAATTCCACTAGATGGAATTTTTTTTTGAATAAAAGCAACAGCAACAATCTTTCTTTTTCCAGAAACACTTTATCCAAAATTCCCCCTTCCAAATTCAAGAGGCAACAGTAGAATCAAAATGTTACCCTTCTTTTAACTAACTGTCGAGCTGGATAAACTTCAGAACGTCAATTCTGACAGCCCGCTCCTGGTTCAGGGCGGTGGAAAATTGCTTTATTTTAAACTCACTTCCGCAGGATTGAAAAGTCCAAATACAACCCCCTTTTTCTCCTGCTGTCAAAGGGGGTTCAGAAATCTTAGATGTTGAATTCTAGTTCTCTTAAAATTTAATTTTCAGGCTTTAGTATATTTTGTCTTTGCTTTCTTCACATAACAAAAGAACGGAAGGCGACTTCCTGTTTAGACCTTCCCATTCCGAGTCCCAATTAAGTTCAATTTCAAGTCCAATATTATTTGTTTATTCACCAGTCTTAAAAGTGGTTCAGCTCTTCTAAGATCAGGTACTCACGGATAGATGTTTTAGATGCCAAATTGTCCAGGAAAAAGGCAGCGCTCTCCGATAACGGCAGTGCGGCTTTGCTGCACGGAGGAAGCAGACGACTCACAGCACCACGCACCTCCCACTCCGGGCCCGTTGCCGGGCTCCTGTACAAGGGAGAGCGCTCTCGGTGCCCGCCGAGTCCCACGTCCACAGGCTTCTTCCGCCTGTGGTTTTTGCGGGTCCCCGCTGCGCCGTAGCGGCAGGACCCAAGCCTCCGTGCAGCGGGTTCCCTTCAGTCCGAAGGGAATTCCGCCATTTTCCGGAGGCGCCACCCCAGAAGTCCCTGGCTCAAGATATTTGGCTGCCTGAGGCACAATAACATATGCTGCCTTATCGCCCCACTCCCAAGTTAAGGCACATGACGCTCAAGGCTGGCCAAGTTGTTTTGGCACCTGAGGCAGACAATCTCAATGAGCTCCTCTCCCCGTCAGTAAAATACAAGAACAAAATTAAATAATGAGCAATTTGCTGCCCTTTCTTGATAGCCAAAATCTACTCCCCAAGGCTGCTGCCTCATGTCGCCCCTTGTGGGGCTGGCCTGGGTCAGGTGATTCACAAGAGCCATTCCTATTCTGTAACCTGCCACATAACTACAGCCAAGGCCGACCCTCCAAATGTTCCTATTTTCCAGGGACATCCCTGATTTACTGAAGCTGTCTCAGTTTCTGATTTGATCCCGGAATGTCCCACTTTCCTTGTTGTTGTTGTTGTTTAGTCATTTAGTCATGTCCGACTCTTTGTGACCCCATGGACCCGAGCACGCCAGGCACTCCTGTCTTCCGCTGCCTCCCGCAGTTGGGTCAAACTCATGCTGGTAGCTTCGAGAACACTTTTCCAACCATCTCGTCCTCTGTCGTCCCCTTCTCCTTGTGCCCTCCATCTTTCCCAACATCAGGGTCTTTTCCAGGGAGTCTTCTCTTCTCATGAGGTGGTCAAAGTATTGGAGCCTCAGCTTCAGGCTCTGTCCTTCCAGTGAGCACTCAGGGCTGATTTCCTTCAGAATGGAGAGGTTTGATCTTCTTGCAGTCCATGGGACTCTCAAGACTCTCCTCCAGCACCATAATTCAAAAGCATCAATTCTTCAGCGATCAGCCTTCTTTTCCTTAGGATGTCACTATTTTCACTGGAGAAATGTTGGAGGGTATGGAGTTATCCGACCCCCAAGCCGTCTGAAGGCAATCCTGTGTAGGAAAGTTTTTTTTAAAAAATTTAATGTTTTATTATGCTTTTTTATATGTTAGAAGGCAACTAGAGTAGCTGGGGAGACCCTGTAAGATAGGTGGGGTATTAATAGTAAAATTATCTTTATGGAATGGGACGTCCCTATTTTCATTGGAGAAATGTTGGAGGGTATGCTACAAGCCAAGGCCTGCAGAATTCTCTCATTCTGGGACATTTGCCACTGACAAAACAACTGGGGTGCCCCCCCCCCGAGGGACCATCTTCTTCCTCGTACAGCTTTGGCCCCACATCTGTCCTGCCCAGCCTAGCTCAGCCCAGCCCATCTGTATCCTGCTCAGCCCTGAGTCGTATGACCCCTAGCTCTGACTTCTTGGTCCCTGTCAGGCATACGAACTCCACTCTTGCCTGCCTCTTCTGCTTCATGTCATTTACAGCCTTTCCAGCTGCTGGGGCCTGACCCTGAAGAGTCTCCAACACTGAGCCACTGGTGCTGGGTCTTGCCTCTGTGCTTCTTTATGTCTATGTTTAGCACACTACAGTTAGTCGTGATCGCTTCAGTAGCTGTCGTGAGTTTTTTTGTTTTAAGAAGGCCAGGAGGAAAACGGACTGTGATGCCAGAACGACAACACTCATTGAAAGCAAATCAGATTGTGGGGGGAGCGAACCTCAGTTCTCAGATGCTCACCTGGAACGCCCCATTGAGTGCTGAGCACTATGACTGGAAATGGCCACTTGCAGCAGCTTTCAATGGCCATCGGTGGCGCCCAACTCTTTCGTAGGACTGAGCACCAAAATATGGCTGAGCGTAATAAGCCATCCCTAAAGCTATTATCCCTAAAGCTATTATCTGGGAACAGAAAGCCTGCGCCTTGCAAGAAACAGATAAAACCAAAAAAAGGCAAAAGAGAGAACTAAAAAGGCTGAGTTTGACTGCATTTGCCTTCACAGATAAGCCACCAACAAGACAGGGGATTATTATCACCCCTGTCTACTATTTACAAAAGTGTCTCTGGCAACTGAGTTTGGAAGGAACACCACACAGCAAAGTCCAGTTCTTAGGAGAAAGTTAAGTGGCTGCGCTAAGTTATTTTGTGGTGGAAACTAAGCTTCAGTTTCCCAGTAAGAAGAGTGGAGCACACTTCAAGGTCTCCAAGAATCTCATCATACCATTGATGACATCAACAGGGACATGTTGAGATCTAGAGACATGTGAACAGTAGATCCAGAGGGATCTGGAACAATACCTTGGTGTCTGTCGCGAATTCTCCATGACACTTTAGCAGAAATGCTCAGACGTTCTTCAGTGCAGTACAGTATATTTATTGTGAGATGTATATATATATACAATACACGAACAGTTCATACAGTCAAACAGAGTACCTGGCTGCACCTTAAGGCAAATAGGAAGACCTTTCTATCTCTTCCTCTCTGACCACACTACTCTACACCACCCCCTTACTGCTGGACAGGTTTCCCTTTTAAACCGATGACAGCCAATCAACTGACAGCACATTACTGCTGAGTCTTTCTGACCCAGCACTTGCATAGAAAGTATTGCAGGCTGATTGCATCAGCCAGTTGCATTAGCTAGAAAACTCAAGCCTGCAGACTTACTATCTCACACAGCATTCTGTGAATCCCGACAGTGTCCTCAGAGTCCTTGTTTGCCTGCCCATTGCTAGAAAGTACTATATCAGAATGGAGTGATCACTTGGCTTTTCCAGGAGGCCTTCAGATTTTCCAGGAGACACATTCCTCTAATTCCCCCCTCCCCCATCCTTAAGTACATCAGACCAGGCTTTGGATTATAAGGCGGGGAAGGTTAACGAGATACATAGACTCTACCCCACGTCTAGCCAAATCCAATTTTAGCCAAATCCATGCCCCGCATAGTTTTTTTTTTTTTTAAAGAGTACCAGAGGGGTCAGAACAGTGACCTACTTTGGGAATTTTATTCAAAATATTATTTGTTGTATCTATTTAACCAATGTTATATACTGCCTAAAGGTAAAGGTAAAGGGACCCCTGACCATTAGGTCCAGTCGTGGCCGACTCTGGGGTTGCGGCACTCATCTTGCTTTATTGGCTGAGGGAGCCGGTGTACAGCTTCCAGGTCATGTGGCCAGTATGACTATGAGCAGCGCACGGAAATGCCGTTTACCTTCCCGCCAGAGCGGTACTGTCAGGGGTTCAGGGAGAGAGGCACAGGGTAGGCAGGAGATGGAGAGCGATGGGGATGAATCCCAAACCAGCGAGGAAGAGGATGACAATGACTCAAGAGATTCCATGAGTCTTTCCAGCGAATCAGAGGATTCCCAGAAGGGGCGCCGGTGGTCAAGGCCAGGAGCCCCAGGGGGACGTGTCAGGAGCAGGGGGCCAGCGGGGATCCCAAAGTGGCAGCTGGGCGTCAGGACCAGCCTCCCCACCAGAGTGCAGCGAAGGGGTGGAGTTTCCAGTGTATCAGGGGAAGCAGCTCCGGCAGCAGAGAAGGGAGGGAGGTCAGAGCAAGCCACCCTCCCGGAAGGGGAGGGAGTAGTGAAGGGAGTAGTGTAACTGTCAAAAGGAAAGTTAGAGGTTTGGCGCGCGCGCAGGTTCAAATGTGAGGCGCGCGGAAGTACAGTGAGCCCGGAGGAAGGGCCAGGTCCCAAAGCCCGCAGGAGGGGGCAAGAGCAGTCTGATTCCGCGTCAGAGGAATCCAGGAGGGCGAAACCCCAGCGGGCAGAAGGACCCTGCGGAAAGGAAAGAGAGAAAGAGGTGGAGCAGCGCAAGCCTCTTAAACTGGTGCAGGGGAGGGACGGATTCAGAGGGGACTTCAGCGGTCTAAGCGTAGGAGACGTAGGGCTGCGCGCCTCGGATGTGAAGCAAACAATGAACTGCAATAAACACTTTTGTATATAAGAAGAGATAGGCGTTGGTCTTTTGTGAGCTGAGACTTGAGGCAGCCCTGACAGGTACCTATTTATCTACTTGCACTTTGACATGCTTTCAAACTGCTAGGTTGGCAGGAGCAGGGACAGAGCAATGGGAGCTCACCCCGTCACGGGGATTCGAACCACTGACCTTCTGATCGGCAAGTCCTAGGCTCTGTGGTTTAACCCACAGCGCCACCTGCGTCGCTTTATATACTGCCTACTCACCAGCAAACCTCTAAGAAGCTAACAAAAATATTATTTTTAAAATACCAGTAACAGCAAACATGAAACAAGTTGGAGATTCTTTAAAGAAATGCTGGAATTAAATAAAGTTATGGGCTGCTTCACGCCTCTTCCCACAGCCACCTCTGTGATAACCACTGTCAGTCATAACATCTGCTCTACAGGCTAATACTGGTACAGGTTTCTTCTCCATAATCCATCTTCACTCTTCATAGCAAGATAACCTTCCTCCTCTAACAAAAAACCAAAACAGAGTTATAATCAGAGCATGACATTTCAGTTTGGGCTTCACCGCCTTTCTCTACCACCCTGCTCCCATCACCTCGCCCAGACTCGCTTACCCTTGATGGTTGAGACACTGTGCTGAGCTTAATTGTTTCTCTGCTTGATTGGAATGATCCAAATTGGGAATGTCAATGTCGGATTCCCGCCCGATGTCAACAAGAAGAAATGGAGGGCTGGATTCAGCTACCCTGTTCTGCTAGCGGAAGCCAGTGGGAGGACCCCTTGCTAGTACAATGGGGCTTTCTCCCCGTACTCCTCCCATACCTCTGCTTTGAAGGGTTGGGACCACCCCTGGGAGAGTGTGCAAGGCAGAAGAGAGGGGAGATCGCTCCATCGGGAAAGCAGAAACACTAGCACTGATTGTGCAGTCTCCTTAATACTACATTCACTGCCACCAAAAATCTAGCTAGCAGCTAATGACTGACACTGCCCAATTCTCCTTGATAGAAGTTCATCAAGGAGAGGTGAAGTCCTATGCTGCTTGGGTTTATAATATATATATGCTGAGGTCTGCCATTGTTGAGGGTTGTGGGCTGGTAATCCTGCTGATGTGTTTGCACTGTGCCTACCTTGTTTCTGCCTAACCCCTTCCCCTCTCCAGCCCAAGGGATGTCAGGTGAGTGGCACAGCCCTACCAAAGCCATCCTTTGCAGTGAGGCGGTACCTGGAGTGGGACATTTCCAGGCTTAATCAGAAACAGCTGACTTTGGCTGGCAGAAGAAGGTGGTTGCTGGTTGATTTCCCCCATGCTTGGATGTACAGTAGCTGTCAGAGGACAGGTTGTCTTTAGGGCAGGGCCAGAGGGGGAAGCAGGTGGAGTAAAGATATGACTCTGACCTTTGTACGCTAGGCTATGTTGTAACTGCAGAAAAGTTGGAGGGTTCTATACATACAGACCTCTCTCCATCCTCTACCCAGGCAAAGAAGAGGCCTTATCACAGTGCAAGGATACATCTCAGGCTGGCAAAAGCACTCAAGGTGAGTGTGGAGCAGAGTCAGCGTGGGAAGAGTACCTGGACCTGAGATTCCCCCAACCCTGATCTCCCTGCTAGGGAAAATGCTTTGTATGGAGACAATCAACTGGCTCAATCTCCAGTTGAAAGGGTTTCAGAGAGACTGGGGGAAGAACTTCTGCCAGAGATCGAGGAGAGCTTCTACCACTCAGAACAGAGCTTGGGTGGAGGGGGCAACCTTTGGCCCCAGAGGTGCATGGGGACCCTGGCCTAATTTCCAAAGCCTCCTGGAAGTCCAGATCGATGGCATGAGTGACCTTCCCCTTCCCAAACAGCCTGCCAGGCAGGGAGGAATACAGGAAGAGAGAGGGAGGGAGAAGGCTGTGTGGAATTTGTGTTTTGGGGAAAACACATTCAGAAGTGCACATTTTGAGAGAAAATGCATTTTCAAATGCATATTTTTGTGCCAATTAAAAAAAGAAATCACAGATCAATGCAGAAACAGGGCAGCACAGATTTTTATTTTATTTTTTGCAGAAGTGATATGGACTGAAATTGGACTTAGTTGTATACCTGTCAGTAATCAAACTTCCCTCGTGAATGATCGGACCATGAAGTATATATATAGCCAGTTATTTTTATCTTCTTATATTTATATCCTACTTTTCTCCCTCCATGAAAATCAAGGAGTCATATATATGTTTCCCGAGTGGTCACCCATCCTGGAACTGACCAAACCCAAAGCCTCACATCCTCTTCAAACCACACTCTGGGACAATTTCCAGCACTGTGGTGAGGAGCTGCTTGGAACTGCACTGAAGGCTGCAAAGATTGCAGTAAATGAAATTGGGAGAAAGCTATGCCTTGTGGACTTTGAATGATGTGGCCCTGTGAGCTGCGGTTCATTGCTGCCACAAATAGCAAAGGGCCAAACTTTTAAAGGCTAGGAGAGTTCAATCCTGTGCACGTTGTGCAGCCAGCCTCAAAGCAGGAGTTCTTCCTCCTTTCCTTTCTTGTGTCTCGGTTTTCTTGAAGCAACTTGCAAGTAAACCCCACTCCGAGACAATAAAAGTGTGCTATATAGCATTCGGCAAGACTGGGAAAACAAATGGTTAAAACCTTGCACTTTTTCGTCCTTTAAAATAGTGGGGTCACAGAGATTTGACAGAGTTGCACCCCCCATCCATGCATGTTCACTAGCATATGAAAGCAGAGTCCATCATCTAAACCAGGCCAAAATAGATTGCAGGTTAGCAACTGCAAGTCCCTGGGCCAAATCCGGGCCACTAAAAGATGCTTATTAGCTCCATTTCCTTTGCCAGTCAAGAAAGCAGCAGCAACAGGTTTGGCAAAAGTGACTTCTGTGGCATCTTGACCTTAAGACAGAGGGTAAAAAGGTAAAGGGACCCCTGACCATTAGGTCCAGTCATGGCCGACTCTGGGGTTGCGGCGCTCATCTTGCTTTATTGGCTGAGGGAGCCTGCATACAGCTTCCGGGTCATGTGGCCAGCATGACTAAGCCACTTCTAGCGAACCAGAGCAGCGCACGGAAATGCCGTTTGCCTTGCCACTGGAGCGATACCTATTTATCTACTTGCACTTTGATGTGCTTTCGAACTGCTAGGTTGGCAGGAGCAGGGACCGAGCAACAGGCACTCACCCCGTTGCGAGAATTCAAACCACCGACCTTCTGATCGGCAAGTCCTAGGCTCTGTCCTTTAACCCACAGCACCATCCGCATCCCTAAGACAGAGGGTAGCACCTCTCAAAGTAGCCCTCTGGGAAATCTACTTACTGACCAGAAATCTACTTACTGACCAGACATCTGAATAATAATTTCGTTTAAGCTAAGGCTGGCCACACACCAGACAGGGGGCCTGATCTAGTCTCCCCTGTTGATTTTTCCCCCTGGTCCCCCAAGGCCCCACTGATTTTGGCAGCTGTAGGGGGAAAAAAGTAGACATGGCACTGAGGTGTCCTTGATCAGCCCTGTAACCTGATGGAGATGCAATGTTCCCCTTCCCCCATCATCTGATGAGTGGGAGTGAGGATTGGGGGCTGTGTGGCTTGCATAACCCTGTGAGGTGTGTGTGCCTGCGAGCATGTGGGGTGTGGCCCCCCACCACTTTTGCCAACCCTCACCACAAGGATAAGACCCCTGGGGGGTTGGCCATGGGTGAATGCCACCCTCAGACGAAAAACCTTTGCTCCCCTTCATCTAAGGAAATCCTGAAATCCAGTTGCCACCTGCCCAGTCAGATTTGATCTGAACACAATAATAGCCTCCTACCCAAGAAACAGAAAACCCATCAACTGCTGTTCTTGCTTTGCAGTCATCATAATAATAGAACTAGTCCCATTCATTGGAAGTCACACAATAGAATTTGTTCTGTGTTGCTTCCCCCCTGATTACTCATAAAAGAAGCAATCTTTTATTTTTCTTCTTTTCCGGTTTTATTTTTTTAGTTTTGCTTGCTGGGGGAAATCTTGCCACGCATTTCTCATAAATATCTTTCATAACGTTATTGAAGAAATCATTATGCTGTTATTGTTTCCCTGATCCCACACTTTCTTCTTTTTTTGCTGCCTTTAATTGGCAACATAAGGTTGGGTGATGAAAAATGCAATATTCAGGTGCCTGTTTTTCTAGCCTGTCGATGCCTCTCCCTCGTGTGACACATCGTGGCGCTTGGTGTTGCAAAGGACAGGCCCATTGCACGATTAATACAACAGAATTAGCAACAACAACAAACAAACAATCCAGTGTGTGAGTGAGGACTCGAATTGGAGGGAAATAACTTACCACCGGTGGCCTTGAGTTTCCATCAACTTTATTTGGGGAAAGAGAGAGAATCCATAATATTAGAATGCTTGTTTTGTTCTTGGGTTGCTTCTGAAAAGGGAAAATTGCCTCTCTAGCTTCCAACGCCACAGGGACTAAAGTAATTTCCCCAGAAAAGTGTCTTGAACTCTGTCGGGTAAGCCTGTGCTGGCTTGTATAAATGTTTTGCATCAGAATTAACTCAGTGCTTTCCCTACCTCTCAAAAAAATCAACCCTTTGCACCAATGCAACTCAAATTTCACCCCAAGAAAACTACATTCTGAAATTTGTATGGATTGTGCAAATTAGGAAGCACATAAGAAGCCGGTTTATACTTTTCAGTGTTTTCTACTCTAATTTGCATTGCAATCAGGTGTGAGGATGTGGTGGCACTGTGGTCTAAACCGCCGAGCCTCTTGGGCTTGCCGATCGGAAGGTTGGCGGTTCAAATCCCCATGATGGGGTGAGCTCCCATTGCTCTGTCCCAGCTCCTGCCAACCTAGCAGTTCGAAAGCACACCAGTGCAAGTAGATAAATAGGTACCGCTGTGGTGGGAAGGTAAACAGCATTTCCATGTGCTTTGGTTTCCGTCACGATGTTCTGTTCCACCAGTAGTGTTTTAGTCATGCTGGCCACATGAGCCGGAAAGCTGTCTGTGGACAAACACTGGCTCCCTCGGCCTGAAAGCAATATGAGTGCCACATCCCACAGTCGCCTTTGACTAAACTTAACCATCCAGGCTTCCTTTACCTTTACCATTACCTGCAGACAGGTGTCTTTCTCCACTTTACCTAGAGATGCCGTGAACTGAACCTAGAACCTATAGCATGTGCTCTGCTGCTGAGCTGCATCCCTTCTTCTGCAAATAAAGCAAGAATCTAGTCATCATGGTTCTGTATTGAAAGCTGGTTTAAATAGGAACACAGGAGGCGGCCTTCAGTTAGAATCATAGAATCATAGAGTTGGAAGAGACCACAAGGGCCATCGAGTCCAACCCCCTGCCAAGCAGGAAACACCATCAGAGCACTCCTGACATATGGTTGTCAAGCCTCTGCTTAAAGACCTCCAAAGAAGGAGACTCCACCACACTCCTTGGCAGCAAATTCCACTGTCGAACAGCTCTTACTGTCAGGAAGTTCTTCCTAATGTTTAGGTGGGATCTTCTTTCTTGTAGTTTGGATCCATTGCTCCGTGTCCGCTTCTCTGGAGCAGCAGAAAACAACCTTTCTCCCTCCTCTATGTGACGTCCTTTTATATATTTGAACATGGCTATCATATCACCCCTTAACCTCCTCTTCTCCAGGCTAAACATGCCCAGCTCCCTTAGCCGTTCCTCATAAGGCATCATTTCCAGGCCTTTGACCATTTTGGTTGCCCTCCTCTGGACACGTTCCAGTTTGTCAGTGTCCTTCTTGAACTATGGTGCCCAGAACTGGACACAGTACTCCAGGTGAGGTCTGACCAGAGCGGAATACAGTGGCACTATTACTTCCCTTGATCTAGATGCTATACTCCTATTGATGCAGCCCAGAATTGCATTGGCTTTTTTAGCTGCCGTGTCACACTGTTGGCTCATGTCAAGTTTGTGGTCAACCAAGACTCCTAGATCCTTTTCACATGTACTGCTCTCAAGCCAGGTGTCCCCCATCTTGTATTTGTGCCTCTCATTTTTTTTGCCCAAATGCAATACTTTACATTTCTCCCTGTTAAAATTCATCTTGTTTGTTTTGGCCCAGTTCTCTAATCTGTCAAGGTCGTTTTGAAGTGTGATCCTGTCCTCTGGGGTGTTAGCCACCCTCCCAGTTTGGTGTCATCTGCAAATTTGATCAGGATGCCCTTGAGTCCATCATCCAAGTCGTTGATAAAGATGTTGAATAAGACCGGGCCCAAGACAGAACCCTGTGGCACCCCACTAGTCACTCTTCTCCAGGATGAAGAGGAACCATTGATGAGCACCCTTTGGGTTCGGTCCAGTCAGCCAGTTACAAATCCACTGAGTGGTAGCATAGTCAAGACCGCATTTTACCAGCTTCTTTACAAGAATATCATGGGGCTCCTTGTCAAATGCCTTGCTGAAATCAAGGTAGGCTACATCCACTGCGTTCCTTCATCTACCAGGCTTGTAATTCTGTCAAAAACGAGATCAGGTTAGTCTGACATGACTTATTTTTCAGAAATCCATGCTGACTATTGGTGATCACAGCATTCCTTTCTAGGTGCTCACAGACTGTTTGCTTAATGATCTGCTCCAGAATCTTCCCTGGTATTGATGTCAGACTGACTGGGCGGTAATTATTTGGGTCCTCTCTTTTCCCCTTTTTGAAAATAGGGACAACATTTGCCCTCCTCCAGTCTGCCGGGACTTCGCCTGTTCTCCAGGAATTCTCAAAGATGACTGCCAGTGGTTCTGAGATCACATCTGCCAGTTCTTTTAATACTCTTGGATGCAGTTCATTTGGCCCTGGAGACTTGAATACATCTAGACTAGCCAAGTATTCTTCTACTATCTCCTTAGTTATTCTGGGCTGTGTTTCCTCTGCTGAATCATTTGCTCCAAATTCTTCAGGTCGGGCATTGTTTTCTTTGTTGGAGAAGACTGAGGCAAAGAAGGCATTGAGGAGTTCAGCCCTTTCTGTGTCCCCTGTTTGCATTTCACCATCTTCTCCTCTGAGTGACCCCACTGTTTCTTTGTTCTTCCTTTTGCTACTGAACATACCCATAAAAGCCTTTTTGTTGCTTTTAACCTCTCTCGCAAGCCTGAGTTCATTCTGTGCTTTAGCTTTTCTGACTTTGTGTCTACACGTGCTGGCTATTTGTTTGAATTCCTCTTTGGTGGTTTCCCCCCTTTTCCATTTTTTGTACATCCTTTTTTAATCTTAACTCAGTTAAAAGTTCTTTAGATAGCCACCCTGGCTTCTTTAGGCACCTTCCATGTTTCCGTCTCATTGGTATTGCCTGAAGTTGTGCTTTTATTATCTCCCTCTTAACAAACTCCCAGCCATCATGAACTCCCTTTCCTTTTAGTATTACTGTCCATGGGATCTCACCCAGCACTTCCCTAAGTTTTATGAAGTCGGCTTTCTTAAAGTCAAGAAATTGAGTCCTAGTATGCTTGGCTGCTCCTTTCCGCTGTATAGTAAACTTCAGAAGAGCATGATCACTCGCGCCTAATGATCCTTCCACTTCTACCCCACTAACCAGGTCATCAACATTGGTTAGGACCAGATCTAAAATGGCTGTTCCACTTGTTGCTTCTCCCACTTTCTGGACAATGAAGTTGTCTGCAAGGCCAGTGAGGAATCTGTTTGACCTTATGCTCTTGGCTGAGTTTGACATCCAACACATATCTGGGTAATTGAAGTCCCCCCATTATTACTATCTCCCTTCCTTTTGCATGCTTGGCCATCTGTTCCAGGAAGGCATCATCTATGTCCTCCGTTTGGCTTGGGGATCTATAGTAAACTCCCACAATGAGGTCTCTGTTATTCTTCTCTCCCTTAATTTTGACCCAAATGCTTTCACTTTGGCTTTGAGGTTCTAAATCTTGGATCTCTTCACAGGTATACATATCCCTGACATATAACGCCACTCCTCCTCCTTTCTTGTCTGGTCTGTTTCTCTGAAATAGATTGTATCCCTCCATTATTACATTCCAATCATGGGACTTATCCCACCAGGTTTCAGTGATGCCTATTATGTCATATTTAGTTTGCTGTACCAAGAGCTCAAGCTCATCTTGTTTATTTCCCATGCTTTGCGCATTAGTGTACAGACGTTGAAGTCCATTAATCATTCCCCGTGTCTCTTATTTAAGGATTTTTTCCTCCCACCACTAGGTCTGCGTGCTGTTTGCTCCATTTGGTCTATGACATTTGGATGATCATCTTCATCAATTGATAGACTCCTAAGTTCAGTGAGACCACTTGTCCATCTAACTCAGGATTGTTGACACCTGACTGGAAGCTGTTCATCAGCCTTTTAGGGAGTGGACACTCCCAGTCCTGCCTGGAGAGGCCGGGGGTTGAATCAGCAACATGTAGCATGCAAATCATGTTGAATATATTTGACAATTTTTTGCAGAATATATTTTCCGTGGGTTTGTATTGCTTCACACTGCTGTGGTATTTTATGAGAAGGCAGTATAAACTGCTCTTCTTCTTGTTGTTGTTTAGTCGTTTAGTCATGTCTGACTCTTTGTGACCCCATGGACCACAGCACGCCAGGCACTCCTGTCTTCCACTGCCTCCCGCAGTTTGGTCAAACTCATGCTGGTAGCTTCAAAAACACTGTCCAACCATCTCGTCCTCTGTCGTCCCCTTCTCCTTGTGCCCTCCGTCTTTCCCAACATCAGGGTCTTTTCCAGGAAGTCTTCTCTTCTCATGAGGTGGTCAAAGTATTGGAGCCTCAGCTTCAGGATCTGTCCTTCCAGTGAGCACTCAGGGCTGATGGATGGGTTTCAGAATGGATAGGTTTGATCTTCTTGCAGTCCATGAGACTCACAAGAGTCTCCTCCAGCCTCATAACTGCTCTTAGGAATAAATAAACCATGTAACCATCCACCGAGATATGCTTCGCTGATGAAACTTACCACTTAATTTCACGTTCATTTTGTCTTGGGGCATGGGTGCGTGTTGGGGAACCTGTGGCCCATCAACCCCAGTTGGCATGTCCAGTGATCTAGAACGATGTGGGTTCTAGTCTAGCAACACAGGCAGGATCATAAATTCCCAACCCAGTCTTAAGGACAAGCAACTTTCTCTCTGTCTCTCTTTAAAAAAAAAGGAAAACTAAGATTCTTGGGATGCTGAACTCTGTGTTTGCTCACTGGGACCAAAGAGGCCACATAGCCTGTCTAATATCTGAGTGGCAGACATTAAGCCTGAGTTCCCAACTCCCTTGGAAATGTTGGGGATTTAGTCTTGTCCTGCATAATAAATGGAAGCAATCCATCATTTGGAGAGGAAATGAAATGTTCTTGTCTGAACTGGAAATAGGACAGTTGGCTTATTCATCCTGTGCACCTTTGCAGCCATTATGCTTGAGCACCAGAATTAACTGGCTGCAGAATGGCTTTTCTCCCCCATTACAGGAAATGATGTCGTCCTTATAAAAACAGCTTGATGGCATCTGACTCTTTAAAGGCAAGGTTATTGGGCTTTTTCAAAAGAAGAAGAAGAAGAATGCCTCCATACAAAAGGCTATTGGGACAAAAGGCAGCATCCAGTATTATGTGGAAACGTTTATATAATTTAGCAGAGTTTAAATGATCCCCTGTTTGAGTTTATGCAGCGACAAGTGGGTTGCTAACTCGTTTGAGTCCTATCAATAATTATACCTTCCTGGTTGATATCCCTTTCTGTCCCTCTTAAAGAAAACACACATGAATCTGAATCATATTAACATAAACTACTTTACTATCAGATTCATTCAGGTTTACAGAGTTGTTCCTGAAGGCAGGCTTAGGTTACATAACAGATAAACTATATACTAGATAGTAGTGAGTCATGAGAAGACTGCATCCGAGCAGTTACCAGTTAACACTCCTTGCAGCACCGACCAACCAGCGTGGAGCCAGTGTGGTGTAGTGGTTAAGAGCTGTGGATTCGTAATCTGGTGAACCAGGTTCACTTCCCCGCTCCTCCACATGCAGCTGCTGGGTGACCTTGGGCTAGTCACACTTCTCTGAAGTCTCTCAGCCTCACTCACCTCACAGAGTGTTTGTTTTGGGAGAGGAAGAGAAAGGAGATTGTTAACCGCTTTGAGACTCCTTAGAGTAGTGATAAAGCGGGATATCAAATCCAAACTCTTCTTCTTCTTCTTCTTCTTCTTCTTCTTCTTCTTCTTCTTCTTCTTCTTCAACAACCAACTGACAAAACTGTCTGCCACATAGAGGCAGTTAGTCCTCTCTTGGGATGTTGGACTTGACTGACATCTTTATATCCCACATATTAGTTGTACTCAGAACAGACCCATTAATGACTGGCATAGTTCCATTCATTTTTATAGGTCTACTATGAGTAGGACTTAGTCAGCTGCAACCCAAAGTTTCCTAGATGCCCTTGATGCTTGTCTGCAGTCAAAACCAGAAAACAATGTCAGAGCCAAGATAAATGTTACTGTCCACCTCTCCGTTTTAATTACTGGCATGTGTGAAAACTGATCATCCTTTTGGCCCTAACAACTAATGGGGGTCACCTAACAGCTTTTAAGCTCCCAAAATTATTTGGGGGAGGCCATGACTGTTTAAAGTGGTGTCATAGTGCTCTGAATGTATGGGGTGAACATGGACCTGGACTCCCTTTGATTCTTAACATTTTTTCTTTAATCTAGAATGTTTCCCCTTTCCCCTTAGAAAATGAGCTATTTGCCCAACAGGAGGAAATATGCAGGTGTTAAGTGAGCATCCAAGCCAATTCCTGCCCCTCCCAGCTGCATTTAGGTTCCATTTAAAAATGGGAAATACAGCCATGTATCTCCCATCATCTCATCTCATCTAACTCTCAATCCCCATGAATTCGGTGGGATTTACTTTCACATAAATATGCATAGGAAGGATTGGTCTGAAAGAGGGGAATTTAACAAGCCATCACTTATCAGGATGTGCCTGTCTTTAAGTTCCTGATCAGTATTCTGTAGAAGCCTCACTGCCACAAGGGGAATGTGGTTGTATTAAAAGTAAGTGGTTCTTCTAATTGAGTGCTTGAGGTTTTTTGTTGTTGATGATGTTGTTGGGTGTTTTGTTTTTGTTTTTAAAAGGGAAAAACAAAGCCAGAAGACAGGAAGCAATAGGGTGTTCCAGAAATGGCCTTGTGCAATTGAGATTTTCTAGGGACTAGTGACCTGGGTTTGTTTGGGTCTGTTCCTGCATACCCTCCAACATTCCTCAGATGAATATAAAAACATTTCTCACTCCCCCTGCAACTGACCCTCCTTGAACCCCTCCCCATTTTTTGTCCCCATCCCCAGAGCATTTCCTATCAGAAAAGAGTGTCACCACCACTTCACCAATGGGACACAGCACACACACCCTCCGCTGTCCTGGGAAAACCCCTTAATCCGGATTTAGTCCAACCACATGTGGGGAACATCTTCCCTAGCTGAAGGGCTTGAGAGAAATCCAGATGACAGAGAAAGAGCAGGGTGGGAACATAAGCAGTTCCGTAACGAAGCAGGAAAGGACCTCTGAGTTTCACTCAAAAAAATCTCATTTATTCAGCCCGCTGCATTTGGATTGCAACATTTGTCAGTGTTTATTTTCTGTTTGCTCTGCTGAATCACTTTGCAATAGAGCACATAGAAAATACAGAGTTGCTTTGCCCCTGACGAAGTCTGTAATCAAAACGCATTGGGCTGAATAAATTGGCACTCTGATTGGTGTCTCTTAAAGGTCCTCTGGTCTCTCATTCAAAATGGCCTCTATCCAACATCCCAAAGCTCGCGTTTGACCTGGATACTTGTATAGCCTTACCAGGTGGGGGAAGGCCAATGGGTTACCTGAGTGGATGGAAATTGCTGTCCCAGGAGTCTTGTGTCTCACTGGAGGAGAGTGCACATCCAAAGGTTCTTGGTTCTAGTCCTGGGGACTCTCAACTAGAGATGGGTGAGAGAAGTGATTCAGTTCACATTTAAAGGTGAACATGTGTAAGTCACGCTTTCCGGAACAACACACAAAGTGAAAATCAGGCACACTTTGAAAACAGCACTTTTCTGAATTTTGCAGTTCTCCAGCCAAGTGTACAAAAAAAAAAATCATGTGCTTGGGTAAAATTTGGACACAGGTGCATATATTGGTGAAAACTACATAGTGAAATATGTCATATTAGAAAACTTTGCCTTGCAAAAATGGGTTTGCTGGGTAACGTCACATACAAAAATGTGTAGATGTAGGAGAATGTGTAGGAGAATTTAGCACTAAAATGCTGATGAATTAAAAAAAAAAAGCAAGCTGATATAGAAATGTGGAGAATTAAACTTGAGACTGGAAAAATGAGAAAGTGAAACTGGCAAGTCCATCCGTCCTCACTCCCAACATTATGCTCCTAATAGTATTGAGGGTTTTCTTTGGAAGAAATTGCTTGCGAATAAAGTAAATGCTTTTCCTCTGCTCCGTATGCCAACTAACATGGGGTCCCCTGAGATTTAGAAGACAGGTCCCCTGTTGGCATGTCTGACCATGGCCCACCAAGACTGTTCATCTGCCATTTTGTTGGGGAGTCTTCCCGAATGCTGGATTTTGTGCAAAGCTGCTTATACAAAGAACTACAGGAAGGGGAGAAATGGACAGCAATTTGGAAAAAAAATGTATAGAACAGCATGCTATGTAGGACCCCATGAGGGAGGTGTTTTCGTTCTAGTGTTTGTTGGTAAACTGGTTTCCAAAAGATGGTTGAGATACACTGGCTGCAAATTGGGTACTGAGCTATGTTCAAAGTACTGGAACTGGTATGCAAAGCCCTATACCAGTGATGGCCAAACTTGGCCACCCAGCTGTTTTGGGACTATACTTCCCATCATCCCTGACCACTGGTCCTGTTAGCTAGGGATGATGGGAGTTGTGGTCCCTAAACAGCTGGAGGGCCAAGTTTGGCCATCACTGCCCCATACAGTCTGGGACCAAGATTATCTCACCCTTTAAATACCCAGCTCTGCCAGAAAGGGCATCCTGCAGGTACCATCTTATCAGGAGGTGCATTCCAAACTCACAGGCCTTTAATGTGGTGCCACCTACCCTATGAAACGCCTTCCCTTCAAAGCAGAGACTTTTATCCCGGTCAGTTCCCCGCTCCTCCAAGTCTCATTACAATGAATAAAGGACCGAGTTCCAGACCTCCAAATCAAGTTAAATTGTAAGCTGTTCTTTTGAAATATAAGTAGCTCTTTTTCTCCTCTGTGAACTGATTTCTCCATCCTAAAAAGTACTGGGGGGGGGTTAATTGCCCCCCAGAGAACATGTCTAGTAGGCTTGATATTAATTTAATTTGACTCTTGGGGAAACATGCAGACATTGATGAAGTTAAATAAGCATGGATGTAAGAAGCTGAAACCAAATTCTGCCAAAATTTTAGTCAGGTCTCGTTAGAATCATAGACATGCCAAGTCCACCACTTCAGTTTTATCAATCGATGGCCCACAGCGATATCTTCCTGATGTTTATTCGGAATCTCCTTTCTTGTAACTTGCAGCCATTGGTTTGAGTCCTACCCTCCAGAGCAGGAGAAAACAAGCTTGTTCCCTCTTCCATGTGACAGCCCTTGAGATATTTGAAGATGGGTATCATATCCTCATTGGCTTGATCCAACAGGCTCTTCTTATGTTCTGACCTTGAAGTGGACTCTCAAACAAACTAGGACCCACTTAAGATCTCTTAGTATTAGTGATAGTGATGGAGCCTTTGAATGGAATGGCTTATATGGTCTTACTGAAATTCATTGTTTTGAACTAGGGTGGCCCTTTGTCCTGCTTATCAGAAGGGCTATCCAGCTCAAGTAGAGAGGGTTGGAAGAGCTGTGAAGTTGCCCATCCATAGTTGGAACCTGGACAGGAGACTGGCACAAATCTCACCTGCTCACAATCTTCCTATGGTGAGAGCTGTTGTGTTTCACTTGAATTATACACTTCTAAACTTGCGCACAGTGGTACCTTGGTTCTCAAATGCCTTGGTACTCAAAACAACTTGGAACCCAAACACTGCAAACCTGGAAGTAAGTGTTCTGGTTTGCAAACTTTTTTCAGAAGCCGAACATCCTCCATTTTGAGTGTTATGCTTCCGATTTGAGTGCCATACTTCCATTTTGAGTGTTACACTGAGGTCTGTCTGTTTTTGCTATTTTTTTCGCATTGGTTTTGTGGCTTTCTTTGTTTTGTTTTTGTGACTGTGTGGAACCCAGTTCAGCTACTGATTGATTGATTGTGTACATTGTTTATTGCTTTCAGTTTATGGATCGATGGTCTCGTTAGATAGTAAAATTCATGTTAAATTGCTGTTTTAGGGGTTGTTTTTGAAAGTCTGGAATGGATTAATCCATTTTGCATTACTTTCTATGGGAAACCGCATCTTGGTTTTGGAACGCTTTGGTTTTGGAACGGACTTCTGGAAGGGATTTTGAGAACCAAGGTATTACTGTATTGGAAAATGGGGTTTATGCTCATCTGTGTCCTTTGGGGAGGGGACAGTTCTTAAGCTGCTGCCCTATTTTTGCACTTGTAACTTGACAGCCTAAAATAAGAAACCACAGCACGTTTTTTGGTAACGATTTGCAAGCAGAGCAAAGAGGGGAATTTGCCAGATAACTTAAGCGCCATAAATAATTCCAAGAGCTGATAGCAGAATCACAACATGCTTCACTCAGACGTTAGCACCATCTTGATGTGACATGATTTTTCCTGGCGTTTTGAGATTTGAAGAAGCAGCAACACAGGAAGTGAGGGTGACGGATGATTTTACACAGCTGCTTTTGTGGTAACTGTCAAGCTGGACAGAATGACAGATCAGAAGACTGGTTATGTGGATAGCAGGGGCTAATGCTTGGGAGGGGGCTTCTTAAAGGGTGAGAGGAGGACAAATAGCTTGTGCTCTCTTCCCAGGGTGACGTAGTAGTTTAACTCAGGTAGCTGTTTCAAGAAATTCTGAACCCTCTTTCCAGTTTACAATTTGGGCATCCTTTACTGTCTTGTGGGTGGTGCTGTGGGTTAAACCACAGAGCCTAGGACTTGCCGATCAGAAGGTCGGCAGTTCGAATCTCCGCAATGGGGTGAGCTCCCATTGTTCGGTTCTTGCTCCTGCCAACCTAGCAGTTTGAAAGCATGTCAAAGTGCAAGTGGATAAATAGGTACCACTCCGGTGGGAAGGTAAACGGCGTTTCCGTGCGCTGCTCTGGTTCATCAGAAGAGGCTTAGTCATGCTGGCCACATGAACCGGAAGCTGTACGCCGACTCCCTTGTCCAATAAAGCGAGATGAGCGCTACAACCCCAGAGTCAGCCACAACTGGACCTAATGGTCAGGGGTCCCTTTACCTTTACTGTCTCACTTGGGAACATAGGAAACTGCCTTATCCCAAGCTTGGCTGGTTTATCAAGCTCTGGCTGGCAGTGGCTCTCCAGGGATTCAGACTTGGGTTTCTCTCAGCCTTACCTGAAGGTGCAAGGAATTGAAGCTAGGACATTCTGCATGCCAGACAGATGTTCTACCACTGAGCTGTAGCCCTTCTGGGTTTCAAAGGCGTACTCTAAAGAGGTGAAGAAAATACAAATAAACCACAATGCTTCTAAACTTTAAAAATAAACTAAGAAGAAGACTCAAATCTTAGAAAGGGGAAACAACTCTCAAAATCCTGGCCTGACAAACAGAACCCGCAATGCCTTGCAAGTAAAGGTGAGGATTTCTTTACTATGGAAGAAAATATCCTAATTGACCAATTCTGGATGTTCCCACCATTAATACAAACTGACATCTTGGGAAGACTAGATAAGCTAAGAGATAAGCTGGCTGAGAGAGCTTCAGGCAACGAGGTTATCAAGGGGGACCAAAAAAAGACCACAACACGTAACCTTCAGATCAAAGCGGAGATTAACTTTCCACCAAGAGAGAATGTGCCACCCTTCAAGACTGATATAAAGAGAGTCCTGACCAATCAAACCAGTGATCTATTTAGTCCAATGTCCTGTTCCCTACAGTGGCCAGCATCAGATACTCAATTTGACGTGCCCACAATCAGGTCATGAAGTCAATAACCCTCTCCCAGTTATTCTTCAGCAGCTGCTAGTCAGTGCTATACTGCCCCTGAATATGGAGGCTGCATGTAGCTATCATCAATTGTAGCCATGGATGCCCTCACTTTCCTTGGAGAGGCAACTGACAGCATCAACTGGTTATCAAAGTTTTAAAAAGCAGCATCAGAAAACTGTTGTTAAAATGTGGCACCCTCAAAGGCACGCTGGGGGAAAATAGGTTTTAATTGCTCACTGGAAAAAGGAGCTGAGATGAAGCCAGGTGGACTGCTCTCGAGACGGCATTTTATCACATTGAAGCCGCCACAGAGAAGGCCCTGTCCTTTGTGTCCTTCTGATAGTACAGAGAACCAGAGCAGTTGACCTCAGCCCTCATCCAAGTTCATATGATGGCTCCATCCCATGAGCCTAGCCAGGACTCCACAAAGCCTAGAGCAATTACAGGTTTGTCCATTCTAAGTCTTGTTCTGTACCAACAGGACAGAGGTCACAGTCACAGGCCAAAGGCAATTTATCAATAGATATATTGATTGATTTTATTTGTAGAGTTGGAAGGAGCCACTAGGATCATCTAGCTCAAACCACTGCAATGCAGGAATCTTTTGCTCAATTTACGACCCTGAAATTAAGAGTCTCATGCTCTACCAACTGAGCTATCCCAGTTGATGTGTGTGTGTGTATCACTATTCACAAAAATTAGCAGAGCCATTTACAACTATTTCACATATAATCATACCATAAAAACCACATAAAATGTTAAAATCTGCAGAGAGTTTCCTCAAAGCCTTAGCTGGAAAGAAAATCTCTGTCGATAGTATCATAGTTCAGTGACATTATGGAGAATGTATGGGAATATTCCCAGTATTTGTTGTTAATGTTAAAAGACAACGAGTGCTTCCCTCCGCCCTTGTATGTGGTAGAATTCCATTATTGGAGCAATGTTGTAACCGCAGTTGAGAACATTGCTGGATATAAGATCCCATTAAGCCCCACGCTTCTTCTGCTTGGTGTGCGTAAAAATAGAACACAGGCGTTTCAGCCAGTAACTTGCTGATCTCTTCCCAAATTTCATTAGAAAGATTTAGGAAACAAAGACAGCTCCCAATATTGAACGGTGATAGGCAGAATCTGTGGCTTATTGTGCTAATAGCAACCATCTGCTTTCTTTTGAATCACCAAAGAGAAATGGTCATGAAGAAGTACTGGCCATAGTACATTACTTCAGGCACAACCTAAACTGTACGCTTTTTATTTTAATCTTTTTTTAAAATGCAATAAGTAAACAATATTTTTGAAAATAATGATGATGATGAACTGAGGTTCCTCCTTGGGCCAAAGATCTGAGCAATTTTGAGTAAGGAAGGCTTGGAAGAAGTTGCCATTCTCCAGGGGGTGCCAAACATCTTCAGTCAAAGCACCAAATGCTAGATGGGAAGAGACTTTTGGTCAATAGAACTGAATGATTGACAGCGATGTAGCAAACTTTTTACATTTCCTTAAGTGTATAGAAGGACAGCTGGGAAATATGTAACTGACAGGATGTCCCTAGGTAGATCTATTCTTTCTTTTCCAAAAATGCTTTGACTTTTTCATGGCGGGAATCTCTCTCTCTCTCTCTCTCTCTCTCTCTCTCTCTCTCTCTCTCTATCTATCTATCTCAGTCAGTAGAGCTTGAGACAGGGTTGTGGGTTCAAGACTCCTACATTGCAGAGGGTTGGACTAAATGATCCTCATGGTTCTTTCCAAGTCTATAATCCTATGATTCAGTTATATATTACAGTGGTACCTTGGGTTACATACGCTTCAGGTTACAGACTCCGCTAACCCAGAAATAGTGCTTCAGGTTAAGAACTTTGCTTCAGGGTGCGAACAGAAATCGTGCCCTGGCGGTGCGGCAGCAGCAGGAGGCCCCATTAGCTAAAGTGGTGCTTCAGGTTAAGAACAGTTTCAGGATAAGTACGGACCTCCAGAACGAATTAAGTACTTAACCCGAGGTACCACTGTACATATATTGTATACCAGCTCTACTTTTTCCACTGTGACAGAAGGTTCACCAATGTGGGTGACTGGCATGTCAATGTTTGTGAATAACCTTTGAGGTATCTCAGGAGCAGAACACCTGCTTGGCATGCAGAAGGTCCCAGGTTCTACCTAGCATCTCTAGGTAGGCCTGGGAAAGACTCTTTGAAGGCCTGGAGATGAGTGTAGAGACCAGCATTGTCATGGTCCGGTCTATGGGCAATCGAAGTCCTGGCTGAGAATGTCAGGACCGGGGGCAAGATGGCAGGGTGGGAGCAGGAACGAGAGTCCAGAAGCCAGGGGTCCGAGGGTCAGGGAGCAGGGAGTCACAAAGTCAAGGGTCCAAGGGGCAAGGAGTCAAGGAGCTGAGGTCCGAGGATCAGGAAGCAAGGAGGCAAACGCAGCAAGGCAGGAAACATGTTGCTGTGGCAAAGACCCGAAGGGAAATGCTGACCTTATATCCCTTCCCGGCTCTAGCCACCTGGTGCAGTGAGTTACCAAGCGGCCTCACCTGTGCGGCTGCGCCTTGCCTCTCCAGAACAAACTTAGGAAGGCCCCAGTCCTGCGAAGCCCTACTGGTCACAGGGCCTGGCTCCTGCACGCACTCCTGACAAGCATTTTCCCAAGTTGTGGGTGATGATCCACCAGTGGCTCACAAAGCCCTGTGCCAGGTGGGTTGCAGGCCTTATAAGTAAGCTCCAAATAATTATTGCTTTTAATCCTTCAGTGGTATGAGGAATACCTCTTACCTCATTGTTTTGTTAGTGTATTATAATGCTGCGGTGATACTTGCAACCAAATCTCAGAAAGGCTCGAGTCTTATATTTCAGCACTTGGGAGCTGCTGTTTGCCGGCTGGCAGCAGATCCAGCGATCATTCAACAAAAGGTGGTCATACAGGGAGTTGTTTTGAGTGACACTTATGGCTTGTCTCTGATTCATAGGAGACAAGATGTCATAGCCACCCAGAACAACTCCCTGTGGTGAACCATCATTAGATCTACCATTAGAGTTAGTTAGATTCTTCAGCAACATTTGCTATGAAGACGAAATACAGAAGCAGGTTAAGTATCAGTAATGATCTGGGACGATGTCTGACAACTTTCAAACCCTGCATTGTCATTCCAACTGATATTATTATTATTATTATTATTATTATTATTATTATTATTATTATTATTATATTTATACCCTGCCCATCTGGTTGGGTTTCCCCAGCCACTCTGGGCAACTTACAGACAAAAGGCAAGCTCACACATCCCACTCATACTTGCAGAAATGGACTGTATTTGATCCTTTTTTTGTCTGACGGTTTTCATTGGGTTGTTTTTTTATTGATAACCATCCCTGGATTCTTTTGAATGAACTGTGGTTTCGAAACACATTCAGTCAATAGGATGTCATATAAGGCAAGGCTCCCCATGACCAAAACCAACCAACTTTGGGTTTGCCTACCCACATTGCCAACTCTGGTGGCAGCTCTGCCTTAGATGACCTCACCATCACAGACACAGAAAAATCTATGTGCCTCTTGGCCAACCAGTAATTGGCAAACACCTACAGTCTTTCTTCCTGCTTTCTGAATGTACAGTAAGTGTCCTTCCTTCCCCCTCTCTCATTCCAGGTGAAGGAGGACTGGAAGTACGTGGCAATGGTCATTGACAGAATTTTCCTCTGGATGTTCATCATTGTTTGCTTGCTGGGGACTGTGGGCCTATTCCTACCTCCTTGGCTGGCAGGAATGATCTAGGATCCAAACAACTCTGGAAAGGAATCCGTCGCATCCCATTCAACCGATTCCAATCCACCTGGAAGGGGCAAAGCTGAACGCTGGAGAAGGCTGCTACGAACGATTTGTTGTAATGTCTGCGCATGAACCATTCCTGGGGAGCTCCAATGATGCCTTCCAAGGTTGCATCACTTGCCTAAGCCATCTTCATCTTCTATATCTCTTTGGGGGCGGGCGGGAGGGGTGGGGCTGGTCAATTAGAGTTTATCCATAGCATGACGGCATCTGTTGTCATATATACTCCTGAGAACACAGCTGTGTTCCTTTAAAGCAAGTGCAAATAGAGGCACTTAACATAATGGACTCAGTCCCTCCTGGCAAGTCAATGGAGAAGTTTAGCACTGGCTGGGTATTGAGCTGAAGCTCTTCAGAACCAAACAAGGCTGAGTGAAGGGTCTTGTTGAGGTGCGTTTGAACAACTGGCAAGGAGCGGTGGAGGTGAAGAGGATAGATTTTTGTCAGAGGCACGCCTTGGTGGAAACGAAAAATATGAATTCAAGTTCTCCTGATTTTCAAAGTTCAGTTTCGTAATGAAACTGAGCAAACTGGAGGAAAGACATACCACATCTGGCCACCACTGGACTGTACATCTTGGCTGGTCCATATGATCAGAAGAGACACCTGGTACAGCTTTTGCTGGGCCAAACCACATTAGGCTGCAGGTAGGGGAAATCCCATCTTTGCACACTTATTAAACTACCATGCCTAGAAGAAGGGTTGGCTCGAACTCTTCTTCCTGCCTTTTTAGTTTTTGTATTTGCAGGGAGCTTTGTTTGCACTGCAGGAATGTTCGGATCCTCCGCTGGCAGTCTGAAAAGGAATAGACAAGCAAAAGCTGCAGTGTGCCGCTCTTGAGATCAGAAGCATCAGCTTTGTGGCTCTGAAGCAAAGGGAAGATAAAGTCAATGGGAAAGGAAGCTGAAGCTCAGAGGCCCACAAAGCTACAGGGTCCCCGTTTCTGGCAGTGTCAGCTGGAGTTATACAAGTTCACAGAGCGCTTTCCTCTGTTGTGCCAAGAATGGGGAAGCCCCTTCTTCCTTACACAGCATGGGCTGCTCTGTGGGAGAGCAGCTAAAGTAGTTAGAAGCAGCATCCCATAACTTTGCTTGTAAAAGCATTTGCTGTGTTGCTTCCAGAGAAAGACTTGGGGGATCCAAAATGGTACTGACAATACCTTTGAGCAGGAGCAGGCACTGGAATTGCTAAGATCCCCTCTTCGTAGCCAGCAAGGAATCCTGTTTGACAAGAAACCATTGTACTCTGCCAACATAGTGGAGCAAAGGCACCAGGTGCCACAGATTGCATCTAATCTGTTCCTCCCCATTCCTTCCATTTGTTTCCAAAGTGTCAGGTGTAATTTGCATAATACATTTCACCAGTACAAATCACATTTCCTAGGTGCACAATGTGGATTTCCACCCTCCGCCCCCAGTGCAGAATAAATGCAATCAGGAATTGAAATGGAAACCTATCTATTAAGAGTCCTTCGCTATGAAGATTAGGGCTGGGTTTCAAAATCACGATATATCACCAGACAAACATTGTGATAGAATAATACACATTATCACAATATCTGAAATAAGGATGGAGCTATGCAGAGGCATTGGCTGGCTTCACAATTTTACCCACATTGTGATTTTGCATAATACACATCCCATGATTTGTGATATATTGCCGGGTCAAAAACTATGGAACCAATATCGCGACATGCTCTTCAAACCAGTTTTGGGTGATAGATTGATATATCACCCAGCCCTAAAGAAGTTGCAGCTTAAACTCTTGGGTCAAGCCATATTTGATGGGTGGGTCTGGTGGAAGGGGCATATGCATCCATATAATCCATTGTTCACCACTGTTGGCACATGAGTAGGGTTATAGTGATGGAAAAGGGGGGTGGATTTCCACTGCTAACATGTGTGGCTTGATCTTCTGTGACGGAGCATCATGTGGGTCCTGCACTTCCTGCCCAAACAAAGCTCAGTCCATGCCTGCTTGGTCTTTATCTGGCGGTGTGAACTCAGGTTAACACTTAAAACGTTTCAGATGACAAAAGCAAAGACGGAGAAGAGAATCCTCGAAAGGGAGATAAGAATGCGAGGATGACTCCTCCAGACTTTTCCCTGTGATTCTGGGCCAAATCTTTCTCGATTAAGAGAAGCAATTGTTGAAGCTTCATGAACAGACTTGAAATAAAGGATTTCTGAGTAACTGTAGCCTTGTGTCATTCTTAGAGTTGTCTTACTTGAACTGGGAGCCCCAACAAGGCTTCTATCAAAGCACTGGACTTTCAGGAACTGGTGGGGAGAGCATAGCTGAGAAGCAGAGCTTTGAACGCAGAAGGTACTGAGCATCTCTAGAGAGGGCTGTGAAGACCTTCTGCCTGAAATCTTGGAGAGCCACTGCCAGTCAGTGTCAACAATATTTAGTTAGGTAGACCAATGTCCTGCCTCAGTATAAGGAATCATAGAATCATATAATTGTAGAGTTGGAAGAGTCATCTAGTCCAACTCCCTGCAGTGCAGGAATCTCAGCTAAAGCATCCATAGCAGATGGCCATCCAACCTCTGCTCCTGCTTTTCCCAAAAATTGGGAGATTTGGAGGAAAAGAAGGTGACAGAAGGTAGATTTTGAGAAGGGGTGTTTGACATAGATGGGATAAAATGGAATGATAAATTACATGCAATATACTTCTCCCTCACACCTTAGGAAGAAATCATCTGCCTTATAAAACTCTTTTTTAGAATTGCTTTAGGAGAAATTACTTGTAAACCTGATCATCACCATTTGCCCTTTAAATTTACTGCTTTAAAAAGGAGCATTTCAATATATCAGTTTTCAGAAGAGGCCTTAGTTTTCAAGCTTGGGAAATGGCTCATTCTTTCTGTTCCCTTCCACAATTCCATATTATGTTACCTTCTGACTGACAGAGAGAACGATCAAAACATTTTCTGGGCTGAAACAAATGGAAATTGCATCCTGGGCACAGAAGTTCTTCTGCCATTTGGATCTCATGATGTTCAGCTCCATGTGCTCACCTTGAATACCCAGGACAAACTGGTCCTAGTCCGAGGGTTGTCAGGCACAGGAATGGGGCCCCAGATGCAGACTTCATCCAGGGGCTAGGCTAGGCCTGTTGCGTCTCAAGGCCCCAAGACCCACCCCCAAAATAAATACACATGGACACTTATATTAGTTTAAGTTTTGGGGCAAATTTGGGCAACAACTTTATTGAAATACAATCACATGAGCGGTATTGGCTTAGGCATTGACTCCCCATTATAACTGACTCCACATCTCGTTATGATCATCCAATGGGGTAAACCAAACGAGGGAGCAAGGTCGATGAGGACCAACCAAAGCTCACCCTGGGGTTCCTGTGGTCCTGGCATGGCCCTAGCCCCTCAAGCGGACTTCGGATGAGATCCAGTATCCCCAGATTCCTTTAACGGAATACCCAGTTCCTGGAGGGGCAGGTGATGGTCGCACCTTCCCTCCCCACAATCCAACCGAGTCAATGCCTAACCGCCACCTTACAAGTTGTGACAATTTGCTAAGGGGTAGGCAAAAACCAAATGGCTAAAGCCAATCTGCCAAATGGAAAAATTCCTGCCCAGCCCTTGTTCCAAAACAGGCGACCCAAACCAAAGCTAGGCCAAGCGACTCTACCTAAACCAGGGAGGGAGGGTGGGTGTTCAGCAGTGAGAAGCAAGTGTCCCTGCTTGCGTCATGCTGCCGTTTTTAAAGCCCCTGGGATCACGCCACCTACTGGCTATTGGCTAAAACCGCCTGGCGTGATCCCTGGGGAATGGCCAGGACTTCCTGCTCCCCCCCCCATTTTAACCCTATTGGGTGAGCTCTTAGGTCCCAAGCGCAACCAGGACCCTCTGTTATGAGGATCCCATTTGGAAGATACACAGCAGAGCATTTCTCAAAACCAGGACTTCCAGTTCTCAGTGCCAAGGCTCTGCTGCCTCATCAAACCTGGTAGGTGAGCTGATACAGATCAGGAGTGCCCTCTAGGTTGCAGATTTAGCCAGAATATCATCAACTTTTAAGCTTGTACATCATCAAAGTTTAAGCTTGTGTCAGCCGAGATACGCCAGGCCACATAAAACCCTCACATCCACATCAGCTATTCATTCTGGGTAACAGAAATTAACCAGCACATTTCTCCTAACACGTTTGTATGCAATTTTGCCCGGTACACATATCTTTGCAAGTAAATAAATGCACAGGTGGTTTGTAATGCAATGTCCCAGCCAAGTCAAGCAGTCGGGACATTGTACACCCGGCCCTTATCTGATAAAATGGTAATAGTACAGACCAGCTGATCAGCTTAGGGGACATGGCTTTAATCCTGTGTTCCCGTTCCCTAGTTCACATCTAGTTGGTGCAGCTGGCAGGTGGGGGCCCAAGTGCCATGAACGGTTGCTTCCCCTGCCCCACCATAACCCAAGATGAAATGACCACACTTGACAGTATTCTTTGGTTCAAGCTAGACCACAGCTTTATCGATTACAGATATAAGTGGCTTTGGCTTAAGCATTGGGCATGACCGGTATTGACCAGCTAATTTGAGGTCCGATTCTCCAAGGGGTTGAACCCATGTTAAGATTGTCCTTTGACATACATTAAATAGGAACGACCCCACACAGATCACCTTGAGGGGTGCTATGGCCCTAGCCCCTGCAGGATCCCTTTAACAGGATATCCAAACCTCCCCTCCAACCAAGATGTCCGGGAACTGCCATCAGCTCAGAGGTGAGAGGTGGAAGGGCAGCTGGATTACAGAGAGCCTCCAAAGATCGTGAGAAGCAGCACTTCCTCCGCAGAGGAGGGAAGCCCCGCCTCTAGTGGGGAAGAGATGCAGGGCTCGGAGGATGCAAGAGAGAGCCAAAACACCGTGCATGAGCAAAGTGGGGGGGCAGGTCCCCCTTTACCAACGCCCTCCCTGCACAGTA